AACAGAAAGTCGAGGGGTGGGGAATAGAAGAGTGATTTACGGATGTAAAAGAGACTGCCACAAAGGCAGAGTAAAAGTAAGATGGTAGAATATGACATACAGTGGGGTCATGGTACTTGAAGTCAGAAGTCAACTGCCGATTAATAGACTTTTTTGCCACATGCAGTCAGAAGTCAACTGCCGGTTTATAGACTTTTTTGCCGTTTGAGTAGTCAGAAGTCAACTGCCGGTTAATAGACTTTTTTGTGAAGTGAGAAGTCAACTGCCAGTTAATAGACCTTTTTGCGTTGAAGTCAGAAGTCAACTGCCGGTTAATAGAATTTTTTTGCCGATAGTGAGAAGTCAACTGCCGGTTTATAGACTTTTTTGCCGCACAGTGGAAGTGGTCGAATATGCCATACAGTGAGGTCACGGTAGCTTGAATTTAGAAGTCAACTGCCGGTTAATAGACTTTTTTGTCTGAAGTCGGAAGTCAACTGCCGAATAATAGACTTTTTTGCAGTATGAGTATACTCGAAAGCCGAGTGATAGACTTTTTTGCCGTAAGAAAATACGCTGCCCAGGGTGCACCACGTGGAGGTAAGTCTATCGCACACAAACTTCCGGTTAATAGACTTTTTACCGTATGAGTATACGTTTCCCAGGGTGCACCACGTGGAGGTAAGTCTATCGCACACCCACCAGGGTGCACCACGTGGAGGTAAGTCTATCGCACACCCCTTACTTCAATATGGGTTTAGTTATTAAAGAGTTGAGTGCGTCGGTAATGCTTGATTGTCCAATAACTGCAGTAATGTTGAAATTTAATTTCCAAATAGGAACGTATAATTTTAATGCCTAGTTATCCTATGTATAAGAAAATAGACTGAACTTCACTTAATTTCATCAAAACATTTAATTGAGCACTGAATTCAGTTAGTTACAGCATTTATTTCGTAGGTACACTGAATCATCTCATTCGTCAGAGTGTTTACTGTGATGTTTTACACAAGGTAGTATAGATCTAGACCATACCTTTGAGAGGATCAGCACGTATTAGTTCACGTATCACAGCGATGATTTTCCAACGTCCAGAGTCCGAGTGACTGGACGATATTGGAAATCCGAATTTTTCTTTCGATCGGTCCTTGGATCTCTCAAACATCAAATCGACTAGTTCACTTAACCCTGGTGCTTCTACCTAATTTCATATGAGAAGCCGAATAGAGTTGGCTGTGTTACAAATATCTTTTCAATCATTTTAGATCGTTCTCAGTCTCTTTGTCGCAGTCATTCTGGATAATCTTGAGTTGGATGAAGACATTAAGAAGCTCAAACAGGTAACGTGCAATGACTCATCTTGTACTTTCTCATAATATGCGTGAATTGATGTTTTTGAGCGATATTAGCGACAATTTTTGACTATCCCTATTGACCCTATTTTTACTATATATATATATATATATATATCTTTCTAAATTAATTCAGTTAAAAATGCGTGAAATGAGTGCCGAAACACAACAGAAGCTCCCACTTCGACTTCGAATTTTCGAGAAGTTCCCGTAAGTGTCAAGAATTTTTTGCATTCGTTTTTCATTTTTTCTCAACAGAGCAAAGTAATTCATTTTACATCATGGAAAATCAAAGCAGAAAATGCTATACGCGTTCAATTAGAGACTGAAGGGTGTGGATCAAGTTGAATCAAAGAATAGTGAGTGCACCAAAATAGTAGTAATAGTGGTTGGGGTTTCGTATTTGAGTTGCACAATTTTTTCTTTAGGGATATTGTAACCCATTAAGAGAAAGGTATAAAGACCGTGAGGAGCAAGGGAGAATACATCTTAACTAGATTACCTTTTAATGCGTTATTAAATTACAACTTTGAGAGAAGCTGCCAAATATCCAGGTACCTGAATACTACCTGTTAAAACATCAAAATTGGACTTCTAAGTGAATACTCTACCAAAGAATTCAATCATTTTTATACAGTTGATTAACTCTGGTGGGTATTCATAGAATTTGGACATTTTTTAGTTTGTTGGCTAAGATAACATAATGAAACTACCGACATTCATATTTGTTATTAAAAGCTTGGGAAAGGGCTAAAGTACTCGTATCAGTTTAAATCATTTGGAAACAAGTGAATACGGGTAGCATTAAAGCAGATTAAGTGATTACATTTTCCACATTTATTGTGAGGTTTTAGTCAAAGTGTTAGGTTTAGTTAATTGCAAAGAGAAGAAGGCAACCAAACGATTTAGAGCAGGAGGATTAGCAGGGAGAAGAAAAGGAACGAGAGCAATCAGAGAAAAGGTTAAGAGGCGGAGCTCCAGTTAGAGAGGAGGTGGATGATGGACCTGGTCATAAGAGCTGACCGGATAGAGTTTGAGTCATGAGATCCGAGTAGATTTCTGCCTTAAACGGGAAATATTGAAGTTATCGATCAATGAATTCAAAGCGAACACTGCATGGGCATTTCGGTTGCCTTATATGCCGATAAAATCTTGTTGATCGACAACGGTTCTCTCAGTTCCTAGTCTGTCTATGACCACAATTCATGGTCAATCATGAAAAACTCATATAAATTTGATCGGCAAATAGTTTTTTTAATTAAGCCTATTAGATAGCAAGTGTCATTATCTTTAGAAATCGGCCCCAAATGGTGAAAATAACGCGCCTGGTCTCCGATTTTCTACTCCCTAAAATTCGTGACTCCTTCATGCGTCAATTTGCTGCTGTCTCCGCTCTAGAAGAGGTGGAGGAAGAGGCAGTTTCAGAAATTCTAGCAGCGGCAACCACAATAGCTTCCATCTCAGCCTCCGCTGCGCTTATTCCAAGTGCCTTTGGCACTGCTGGCTCTGGAGTTGTGGGTCAAAGTGGTGGAGGCCTGGCAGCGGGGAAAGCACAGCCCTACGCAGGACCAGGAGGAGGTGCCAGTGGTCAGAGTGGAATAGTTGGTGGTGCCTCGGGATCAGCCAGCTCTGGAGGCTGGCGATCAAAAGCAGCGGAAACTGCTGCGGCCATTTCATTTTCGCGGGAAATTAGACGTAAAGTACATGGACTACATGGAGAGGAGAAAGTCAGAGCTATAGTATATCTTCTCAGGTTAGTAGAACATACCTTGAAATGCATCAACCCTCTTGCACTTTGGTGATATTATAGAGGTGAAATCGGGTCTCTCTTTATTTATACTTATTTCAATCAACTTATTTAATGGAGTGGTGGCTTTCATATGACCCAACTTTTCATTTATAAAGCTCCAACTACTCAGTTTCGGGAAGAAAGGAAAGGACTTGCAGCACAAATTATGCCTTTTTCCTAGAAAATGGAACTGAGTGCAATGTAGATGGCTGACTTCCTGGTTGACCAATAATTGCGAAGATAATTGATGGGACCTTACGTATCCTATCGATACATCAGTAAACGAGGGGTGGTGCTAATGAGCTTCGTTTGAGTGTGCAGAAGATGTTTGTTTGGGCTGTCTGACAGTAATATAGCATCCTAGGATCAGGAAAGAAAAGTTCTTCCCTACTATTACCCTTCTAACCTATCGTGATCTTCTTCATATAACTAGATGGAGAGGAGACAAGAAAGAACTTTTTGGAGGTCACCAGTTATCACGAGAGGCTTAAGAAAGATATGCTGATTGTTTAGCCCATTAATGGCTTAGTCTCGGATTGAACGACTTGTCAATTTCTAGAATAAGTTATGGGAGAGCATATGTGTATTTAAATGATTTGGGATTTTTAGTACCTCACTTCGCTGTAGGTCCACACTAGGTCATTGCGTTGAGCACTTAAAACTCGAATTGAAATAAAATATTTTGAGTGGATCATTCATCGAGCAATAGTACTTATGTCAAATATTCTTGCTAACTTGAAAATTGACTGCTTGAGATAAGTCGAGTGCATTTCCTAGGGACTACTTTGCTGAGGGAACTATCCCTTAATAGTAATGTGCGATGTCTTAAGGTGCTCTAAACCTGAAAATGACGGTAACTTAATAGTCCCGCTGAGTTAGGATTAAAGATAAACACTTATTATTCTGATGGTTTTTCCAATGAACAACATGATATCGCGGTTTTTTCCAGTTTGGGAAAACCAAGAGTTGAGTTGGCAAATGGGCGAAAAATAAAGAACGAAGTAGGTGTGCGGAATTGAAAGGAAAGAGACAATTGTCAATTCTGAAAGAGTGGTGCTCGATATACAATTACTAGAGTATAGTATAGCATAGGATCTGAGAAATTTCATGATCTTAATTCGACGTCGAGGTATTTGAGACGTCCAGAGCGTCAAACTACTAACTAATAAACTGGACATGGCTTAAACTTGGCTCACACCTATAAATCCCATAAAAACTCAAGATTTGAGGTCTTGATATTGATTTAGTAAGCCTATTTAAAAGGATTGATTAGGGAGTTTGTTTAACAGGGTTTCAATAACATCTTGTTGAATAGATTTGTGGCATCTAGACAAAATTAAATGTTAGGCGCAAATCGTGTCATGCTTACTGGACGCGGACAATCTCGAGTGAATTGTGTATGAAAGTGGGAATAAGTTTTTTTGCTATTAATTCACTTACGAATATGGGCGGATATATAAAATTTATTAAATCGATACAAATTGCCTGACCATAAGCAAAATACTTTTTCCATGCCCGTAGGCAAATACCATGGGGGTAGGAAGATAAAGCTTAAAAAAACAATTTCTACCTCATGGGGAACGCAAAGAAAAAAGTATTTCAAACTCTATCAATGACTTCCGCCTCTTTTCTCGTCCTGTCTTTGGGTTGCAAGAGCTTGGAACAACCATAGGGTATTTACATTTTTCGTCGGTATAAATTGGAGAATGTCAACTTTCTATGCCTGTGTCACAATCCATTCCAATCTAGTTTGACACGATACCGAGACGTGTATCACAAATTGCACAGATTTAAAGATTGTGTGATGGAGGCAAAGCTCTCACTCATATATAGTTGCATAGCATTTGGTTAGTAAAAGCCGAAATTTAGAATTTTGGTGTAGGTAAAGGTATTCGAAAGTTTCAGAACTCATTCCATTCATTTAAAATTGATTAATCTTACTAATTTGATGTTAAATACCTTAGGCAAATGCGAATTCCCTCCTAAACATAGCTTTAGGTTTTTCCAGATCTTACTCCAATCTTCCAATAGGAGCTCTAACTCTTTGTGTTGGTTTTGAGGGGTGTTTTGGCAGAACTCAGGGCACTGGAAGTCAGTTGTTGTGAGCGATCGTTTCTCTCGCGTTTTAGTCCCTATCGATTCTACGCGTTGCCTTGGCTCGCGCCTTCTTGAGCGCTCATTCCCATTGGTTCAATCACTTTACCAACATTTTCGTTTGTCTTCTAGTTTGGACAAATGGACAATTGCTCTCCACTTAGCTAATAAAGCATAAACCGGGAACAGATTTTTTTAATTAGCTGAATTAGCTCCTGTTATTTAGGCGCTATTTGTATTAAATTATAAAAAAATCTGTGAGAGTTTTAAAAATATAACTTTTAATTTAACCAAAAAGGATTAAGTTATTTATATGCAGTGAAATTTAAATTCCTCTGTCGTTGACTTAGCTTTGTGGAACATACAGAAATATCTGCCATTGTTAGTTGGAATTCCTTATATTAGAGTGTCATCCTCAAGTAATGAAAACATTGATTTCCATTAACTAAATTTATTCATTTATATCAAATTTCAGGCTCTATGATAATTATCAATTACCCTTTGCTGAGTTCGGACTTCACAGGGGGGACACCAAGGTTACAAAATATTGAGAGGGGGGAAATACAGAAGAGCTATTCATAGACGTAAGAGACAGACACAGAGGTAGAGAAAAGGTAAGATGAGTACTGTGAAAGTGGTTGAATATGACATATAGTCGGATCATGGTGGTTTGAGGTCAAAGTCAACTGCCGGTTTGTAGATTTGTTGATGTATGAGCATACGTTGCCAAGGCTGGACCATGTGAAGGCAAGTCTATCAAGCACCCCACCCCCTTTAACTAAATTTCGCCCGATTCTAAAATGTTGCACTCTTATTCATACCTTCTCCCGTCCTAACAGTAATAATATAGCCATAATTATAAATTAACGGGAATGAAATTACCGCTCTTGAAGTTACGTTTCTCATTACCCTACTTCAACGCATAATCTTTTGTAGTGAATCAAACAAAACCAGGATGCTCAGTATTGATCAAACTACAAACACTAATGGTCGGTCTCTTCTCTCAACTCAGCACCATATTCGACTTGAAAGAAGGTAAATCTTGATCACTCTCTGTGTCTCACGCCAATGCAAACAATTTACTATTGTATGCATCTCCGGTACTATCTTTAGTCACTTATTAGTTAGAAGCTTAAAATGAGGTAGGAGGATGGGAGTTAAGAAGTAAGGCCTTTAAAGGAGTCTTACTTCTTCACTTCAATTTTATGATTCTCCCCTGGATTGATCCGTAAGTTACCATTCACACAGTCCAGTACCTATTGCCCGGTTGATTCATTGGGTGAATTGGTTGCTTCATTTCAACGAAGTGTGCTTCAAGAGAATTGACTTTTGCAAGACTTAGAATCCTATCAAACACTGCGAGGGCTTAGAATAAGGCTTAAGATCTATTTATCGCAGTGCAATGATTAATTTGAGATAGAGAGAGAGATGAAATAGGTAAGAACATGACTGCGTGAATAGTTTTCCCAAATATAACATAGACTGAATTATGCACAAAGCCACAGAAATAACATATCTTGACTAGTTCACATCTTACAAGCTCTGTACTGGTGGTTGGAGTGGGGGGAGGTGAAATCTAGGTGTTAGTGAGGCGACCATGTCAAGAGTTTTTGCCATATCTAGAATATCAAGACGTGAAATTCGCATGAATGTTCGTTTGTGCTCGCCTAATAACTGGTCTATGTTGCTTCATTGACAATCCAAGAAGCAATTTGAGGGAGCAAGATGGTCTCAGTAACTCCTGTAGATACATTAACTTATAAAAATATAGGAATCGCAATAAGGCATAATTATTATAAGTGAATAAAATACTACTCTAATAAGACTCACGAATGAATGCTGAGGCTACCATCTATGTGAACAAATTATTGCCTTAAGGACTAGGGACACAACTTGATTTAAGATAAAAACTAGAATTCTTATCTTTTAAAATTGACTTCTGTTTTGTTTTTTTAAAAATTTTCTCACTTTAATTTTCCTCTTTCTAAAACAACCGTCTTCATACTTCAGGAGTTTGAGAAATCGATCAAGTGTTGCTTTAGGAACCGCCTTCCTTGGTCGTGATGGAGCTCCAATGGGAATGAGTATAAGCGGCGGAGTGGGTAGTGTTTCGGGTGGCGGTGGGGTGGGTTTAGGTGGAATGAACGCAGCCTTCGGCTTGGGTATAGATTCAACGGGTGATTCTCGCACCGGTTTGGACAATACTGGTCACTATGACATTAAGGTGCTCCAACAGAAGGCCCAAATGGCTGAAATTAAAAGGTAATCGAGATACATTTTTCACTCGAAAATTATCAAATGTGCACTCACTTTACTTTGTTTGTTATATTTAGAACTCAACAAGAAGAAGAGCTGCGGGAAAACCATCCCCTCTTTGATAGACCTCTCTTTACCCTTGGGAGACAGAGCCGTCTTCGGCGATTCTGTAGTCTTGTAGTAAGCGCTCGACATAAGGCTTCAAGATCCACGAGTGGTAATGATAATAATGGGAGCAGTATTCAGTAAGTACTCCACTCGTATTGTCATATATGCTCATTTTCAAGCTTAAAAATGTTCCCTTACTACTTTGCAGTAAAATGATGGGCTTCATTACGTACCTAGATTGGGTGATGCTACTTATTACAATCGCTTCATGTATCTCAATGTCCATGGAGACTCCTCATAAACGACTTATGAACACACCAGAGCTTAAGGTATGTGTGAAGGTTTCAAAATTTATGAAAGTCGAAAATATTTCTATATGTTTATATGGTTGTGTTGTCAAAATTTTAGATTGGAGAATACATTTTCTTTGTCGGAATGACTATTGAACTTGGGCTGAAAGTTTTAGCCGATGGGTTCATTTTCACTCCAAATGCTCTTTTGCGAGATTTTGGTGGATTTTTGGACATTTTTACGTATATTGTAAGACATTCATATATATATTTCAAATTTGTATTCTTGTATCACATAATAGTACCCTAAAATGGTAATCAGCAGCAGTGTGGGCACTTATCATCTATAAATTAAAGCACAAATACATTAAGTGGTAACTATCTTATCCACACAAAGAAAATCACTTAAATGGGTTTACAAAGAACCTAATACTTAATAATTTGTTTCAGTAATTTATTGTTAATTTGTCTTTAGGTGAGTCTGGTTTTTGTTAGTTACTTCATGAGAGTTGAAAAGTTGGGTCCAGGATCTGTGGGCCATCTCTTTATGGTACTTAGATGTCTTCGACCCCTTCGTATCTTCTGTATTGTGCCCCAAATGCGGCGTGTTGTCTACGAACTGGTCCGTGGTTTTCGTGAAATTCTCATGGTGAGTTTAAATCTCTTTTACCTTATCAAGAGGAGAACAATTTTATTATTGTTCTTCATATAACCATACTTGTGATGATATTTTGCCCGCAATTTCTAAATAAGATACCAAGCACTTGATTGCAAATAACCCCTAATAGACATTCATTTTAAGTAAATGTAGTCTCTTCGTCAGCAAATTAAAAAAACATTCATTCTATCTTTAAATTAAGCCAAATTAGGCTGGGTATTCCTTCACCAAACTAAGGATCGCCTTCTTCCAAAGGCAAAGTGTCAGGTTATGCTAAAGGAGGGTCATAGTAAAGATTTCAAACTAAGTTGAGCTAATTTGAGTTGTTTGGTTGACGTTCTTCGTACCCCCTGACGAACAATTAATAAGAAATCATCGCTTGACAATTTGGAAATCTCAGACAAAACAAATTCATCGTGTTCTCATTTACCATTCATTAATTATTTTAAATTGTAGTGATAATATCTCCTACTTAAAGCCTTTTCAATAACTGCTAGAGTTTAGTACTAGTCTCCTGTGCTTATGAATAATTCAATTTATAGAAGAGCACTTCGTGCGACAAATGCAATATGCGGTGAATAGCCTCCTTTTCATTAACCTTCAACTGATTTCCCATCTCCAAATTAGTACCTTCAACTTCATTATATGTTTTGCGAAAAGGGCAGTCAAAGTGGAAGCAATTTCGTCATTATCAGCATTTCCATGAAATGTCTTTTTCGCTCTCTTTTCTAGGTCACAGTGCTACTTGTAGTCTTCATGTTCATCTTTGCTGTTTATGGAGTCCACATGTTCGGCGGACGCTTGGCTATATGCAACGACCGCAGTATTACTCGCAAGGTACTTACACTCTCCCGCTTAATTAAAAGTTCGCATATTTAAATCGTTAGCATAATCTGAATGTTTGAAAGGTTGGTAATTTCTTATACCTTGCTTACCATGTATTGCGCTATAATTATATGAAGCTACAGAAAGATTCATATTGATTAATTGATGGAGGTTATCGGAGGGGGAGAGGATCAAAGAGGCTGATCTAGAAGAAAAGGACCTGACAGTAAAAGCTATTCGATAGAAGTTGGAGTGGGGTTCGTGCTGCTGTCGCCGAAATTAGGTCATTTAAGCATTTTGAATTAACACATTTTGCAAACGGTTCCATATCTTTCACGAATATTATTAAAATTTAACTCTTCCAATGATTTTCTATTGAAATTTTAGGAGGACTGTGTGGGTGTATTCCGACGAGAGTTATCTGTGTCAAGAATGAAGAGTTTTAAAGGCGATGCACCAATGATCTTGGTACCTCGTGTTTGGGCCAATCCTCGTAACTTCAACTTTGACAACATTGGAAATGCTATTTTGGCTCTTTTCGAAGTTCTCTCATTGGAAGGTTGGGTGGAAATCAGAGATGTTATAAAAGCACGAATCGGACCTGTAAGTTCTGTCTCAACGTTTTCAGTTTATGTGAATATCGAGAAGATATTCTGCTATCGAATTGATGGCAAATGTTAATTGCTGCGATTTCTACAAGTATACTCTTATCAGTAATTCATTTTTCGAACAAATTTTTACTTCAAAAGCATAAATTTCAGCATAATCAACTTCACCCTCTGAAACCTTGCTATATCAAATCGCATATTCAACAGGAGGTGCTTGGAATATAAATCGAGTTCAAATGAACTAAATTGGCTACACTAATACTAAAAGTAGATTCAGCTTTTATGAAGACATAATAGACGCGATCATTGCTCTTTTATGCTTTCGGAGTCTCAATTTCTTGCTTTCTGCTATTAAGCCCCCTGTTAGAAATAAAGTATAGCATACGTTCTTGAAAAGACTTTCAATACCATTTTTATTCAATTGCCGATTGTCTTCGAAAATGCAAAAACCATTAAAAAATTTAAAATTCTAAAGTTAAGACTTGATTTTCAGGCAATTTTAGCACATATGTTTTTATGTGTGACTCAAACCTTATTTAATCGAATTACAAGACCGAAAAAGAATCCAATTCAATTTCAGCCTCATATATATTTTACGACTTTTCAAAGGATCACAATAAATGAATTTTGCAAAGCTATTTGATTAATTATTTCTAAAATTACTTTTTACACATTTTTCCTGTTGGTTTGAACTTCATGAATTTATCATGTATTGTGCTTTGTCTTAGAAGGGCAGTTTTCGAAGTGTTCTAAATACCAAAATTTTTTTCGCCTTTTCTCCCTCCTTAGTTGAAAATTTTGTGCCAAAAGTGTTAATTTTGTCCATTTTTCATTTTAGACCCATGTCGTGTATATTCACCTGTTCGTCTTTGTTGGGTGTCTGATCGGCTTAACACTATTTGTTGGTGTCGTAATAGCAAACTATAGTGAAAATAAAGTAGGTTTATTTTGGTTGCTTAAACTTGTTTGGAATGCCTCGTTATGACTCCAATGTGGTGTGATATATGCTAATAAAATTAGATTGATTATATGGATATTTATTTATATCAAATGGCAGGCGTCTTGATGCCTATCATTAGCCCTTTAGTTGACTTCAGGCTCTACAGAGGGGAAGGAACATCAGATTTAAAAAATTTAGAGGGGTGGGGGGACAGAAGAGTGTTTCAAAGATGTAAGAGACAGACACAAAGGTATAAAAAAGGTGAGGTGAGTACTGTGGAAATAGTCGAATATGTCATAGAGTGAGGTGATGGTTGTTTGAAGTGAGGAGTCAACTGCCAGTTAATAGACTTTTTGCCGTATGAATATACGTTGCCTAGGGTGCACCACGTGGAGGTAAGTCTATCGCACACCCCTGATTATATGGATATAATTTCTTTTATTAATTTCGAGCATTAATAATGCTAACAAAAATAAATTGAAAATATCGATTGCCACTAATTTTACCTATATAATGGTCTCGAAATGCTGGTTCATGTTTGATTAATTCTAACCTTTATTTCACCATAAAGGGCACTGCTTTACTGACAGTAGATCAGAGACGATGGCTGGATTTAAAAGGTCGAATAAAACTGACACAACCATTGCACATTCCACCTCGCCCAAGTAAGCCATCATTAGTAAATAAGTTATTTTAAAACGATAAACTTGTAATTGTCGTTTGTTAATAGAACTTCGACCTGAGCCGGGCCAAGCCCAAATTTCAACTGAAACGACATTCCTCCGATTCCGATGTCTAATCTACGACATAACGCAACACATAGCTTTCAAGAGGGCCTTTGCCATTCTAGTTCTCTTAAACAGCGCCCTCCTATACTGTCCCGTAAGTTATTCAATTCACATGAACAAGTACTGCAGTGATCAACATAATTTCTGTGCAATGAACCCATATACTTTCCCTCTCTTCAGTTCAACGAATATGGTGGAGAGACTAATCCAAATATCAAGACCCGGTACAAAGTGCAAGTTTCCTTAGCCATGTTATTTACCCTCTTTTTCTGTGTGGAATGCGTCATGAAGATCATCGCACTCACCTTCAATGGCTACTGGCAATCAAAACGAAATCGATTTGACATGTTTATTACCATACTTGGTGTGGTTTGGGTCGTGCTTCACCTCGGTCTTCGGTCAACACAGGCACGTTTTCTTCTTTAAATTAAATACTTTAGCATTTAATTTATAATCTATGTCGCTTCTATCTTGTGCTATTGGTAGGGCGGAAATTTAATTTTAATTAAGGGAAAATGTTACACACTTTCCCGTGAGAAATTAATGTCTTCTTATTCATGTCTTATATATTTACCAGATATTTATATTTTAGCCTGCTTGTATATTTCAAGGTCATAGTCAGGGTTGTCTAACTGGCAAAAACTGAGACGAAGATTTCATTTTTTCTCATAGGCGTTATTAAAGTGACATGCAAGGACATAAGGAAACTAGGTGTCGAATGAAAACAAAATTTCTAAAAGAAAACTTGACCCGGAAAGTCAAACTAATAAACTCTCCAAGATCCCCGAGTGTTTCTCTACGGTAGGAGTCAGTAATGTAAATGAACTGAAAGTGGTGACTGCGCCGAGGTCAAGTCGCGGTTGAACACGACCTCTGATTTCCCAGAAAATAGGCACAGGCTTAAGTGGACCCACACCAATTCCTTTGGTGTCGAAAAGAATGCTTTCTCTGAATGTTAAAAGTGGAATTTGAACGCCATTTCTCACGGCGAGAAACGAATCGGAGATAAACCCTTTGTGACAATCCAGTCTGAATTGACTGGTCCAATTGTAGTTCCTGGAGGAAATGAAAAAATTCACCAAGGCCGCTTAACAAAAGGCACCGAACAAATCGAACCAGAAGAATGTGAAGAAAGGAATTCAGAGTTCATAGTTGCGTTGTCCATCAGTATGCACTCACTGCTTGCAATGGTCAACCAAATTGATTTAATTTAATACATGAGCTACGTTTATAAAGTATCTTCTATTAAGTTTAATAAACAGGAGTTGAAATAATAATATAACTTGGTACGGTATTCTATTCATCATACAAAGGAAGGCGGAAATAATATTCTGGCGGGTAGTGAAAGTTCAATTAAACGTCATTACCATCCATCGGTCGGTCTGTTGTCTGGTCAGTTAACATCTGGCCCAACAATTGATTTACGCTTTCATTACTATGGGTCTTGTCTGGTTAAATCTTTCTCTCCCCGTCTCTCTGGGGTGGGAGTAATTGTAGCAAGCTCTATAGCACAGGCTTTGACCATACTTATCGTAGTCGTTGGAGTTGAAATATTTTTTATCATTTCAGGAAAATAGAATTATAAGCAACAACTTTGGATGGATAATTCAAATGCTACGTTTCTTCACAATTGCGGGAAAATATGTAAGCCAGTGCCATTTTCCTTCTTTGTTTTCTCTTATTTTATGATTAACTTTCACTTGCCTTACTTGTTTATCAGTATAAATGACACACTCAAAAATTGTTTCAAACGATTCTATGCAAGCCAGTGTAAATTATGTTAGCACAAACTGCTTTGCAATCATTCAATGAATACTTCGTTTAGTTGTGAAACTGAGTTTCCTATTAGATGTACGAATCAGAAGTAAATAAGGAAACATGGTGTATAGCTTTGTGGGATCTTGCTTATTCTGAGTGGCTGGTTTGATGAAGTGACAAGGTATCTGAGCAAACAAGAGACTAACCTCGCCGGAATTTTGGTTATTTTGGGGTTATTTTGCTATTTTTAGTTAATAACGCCTAAACTAGGTTAGTGAACGGTATCTTGGCATCGTCCCTTGTTTGGGAAACACTCTCATTTCCCCAATTAACCTGAGTTGACTATCCATTATCGTTAAATGTTCACTGCTCTGTGTTGATCACGTGACCTCTGGGTTAGAACACGTAGACGTTGGCCAATGCGCCACCGAAGTTAGTGAGCTTTTCTTCATCATTCATTGTTGATAGGTAGGCGACATTTGGATCCTCTCTATTGAGAAATTCGCCACTCATCACATGGACACTTTTAATCAATACTGTTGTTTGTTGAAAAATTAGATAGAGCCCTTGGTCCTGAATTTTAACGCACCGGTGTATATAATTTATTAAAACCAATATCTCTTTCTTCTTCTAATAGGTAACCTTGAAAATGCTTATGCTTACAGTAACAATGTCAATCTACAAATCACTTTTCATTCTCACCAGCATGGTTGTTCTAATGCTGGTCTATGGACTTCTGGGGGTTGTACTTTTCGGTTCTGTCAAGTATGGTGACAACCTTGGTCGTCATGCCAACTTCAAGAACGCTTTCCGAGCCATCATTCTCCTCACTCGTATTGTTACAGGTCGGTATTTCGTTTTCTTCAATTACAGTTTGTGTGTTATATCTATAACTACTAAGCTTGGCTCGCTTTTTTGGTTTCAGGTGAGGATTGGAATAAGATCATGCATGATTGTATGATTCAACCGCCCTTCTGTGTGATGAAGGAGACTTTCTGGGAAACGAACTGTGGCAATGCTCAAGCTTCTTTGGCCTACTTCTGTTCTTTCTATGTCATTATTACTTATGTCATGCTCAATGTTCTAGTGGGTATGATACCTCCTCCTTCTACTGTATATTTCAGCATTAGATTCAACCTGGTCTAATCCATAATTAATTTTTACTTTCAGCTATTATTATGGAGAACTTTTCCCTATTCTACTCTAACGATGAAGACGCTATTATGAGTTATAGCGACATTCGAAACTTCCAGCAGGCTTGGAATATAATTGATGTGAATCGGAAGGTAAGAAGATTCTGAATCGCATTCCGACTTATTGTCTCTGCGTTTAGGGAATGGTGAAGGCTTATTACGTTCGTTTTCTTTTGCGCTTAATCCCTCGAGATCGGGTTGGATTTGACCTGTCCAAGAAACGGGACAAACAGCTGTTCAAGGAGATGTGCTATGAGGTGGAAACATTGCGTGGTGGTAGAGATAAGGAAGTCAGCTTTCATGATGTTTTGATGCAAGTGTTTTATAATATTTTCACCATTTTATTTCAGCGGAAATTTGTAACTGATATCATCCTCCCCTGTTTATTTTAAAGGGTTCTTGCCTATCGAACAGTAGACATTACAAAGACGCTACAACTTGAAGAATTGATTGCTCGCGAGGACTTAGAATATGCTATCGAGGAGGAAGTTGCAAGACAAACCATTGCAACTTGGATCGAGAGATGCATCTTCAGGAAACGCCAAGTAATTTCTTAGACAACTGAAGATATAAGAAAAGCATATTTTGATTCTGAGAAGCAAAACGCTTAAAGCTAGAATTTACTAAAAATTTTGAAAACTTAGAAAAACTATAAAAATTTTTAATATACACTATGAACTTTAAATGAAATTGGTGCGGAATGAAAAAATAATTTAATTATGAATTAAAGCTTATTTTGAAATCGATTTCTCAAAAATAGTTTAGTAAATATTTTTACTTCAGGTCACTACATTTTTATTTGTTTTAGAAACATGGCCATCTTCATTTTTCCATGCATTCTGGACCCGACCGCCCCGCCAGTGGCCAATCATTTGAAGACACTACAAAAGATTCTTCGAACACGAATGCAAACAAATCCTCACTGAAAACACGTCCATCGAAGATCAAATTCAGTCGTGAAGAGTTCGCTACTCGAGCCGATAGTGTTGAAAATCCTCCTTCAGCCTCCTCAAATAATCAGAGTCCACCCGCATCCCCAACTCAACATATTTTGTCCCCCGTGTCGACTACTATTCGAGCAACTGATAGTGCAGTCGCGAAAATGGCTAGTTTTCATGACAACTGCGAGTCTAGAGGTCAGCGTAGCAACGGACGTTTAGATTCTAAGTCCTCTCAGAAAACTGAGACTCACCTTGCTGATGGTCTCATACCGAATAGTATTGGAAATAAGTCCCAGTCTACCTCTCCTTCACCCTCTAGTCTGGCCTTTGTCGACTCCTGCGCGAAATCTAAGCAGACGCCCACAAATACAAATCCAGTTGAAACAGAAACTCACAAGGGAATTCGGCTTTCTGGCTCTGGGGGAACTTTCTTTAGGCGAAGAAGCATGCGTTCTGCTAAGCAACATACCCCCATTCTTTCAGGGGTGGTTGAAGATGCAGATCAGATCACAAGGCATTCTTTATTCTCTGGAGCGGGAATGCCAGCTATTCAGGAAGCCGGTACTGGGCAAGCAAAGAATTCCTCTATTGAGTTGAATGAGCTTGGAGCTATTCCAACTGGTCTTTCCATTCCTTCGGGGGATAAACAGTTTCTTGAATCTGGAGCAAGTTCCGCATCTGGTGAGCAAGGTGGAGAGAGCTTCGAAAAATTTGGGATGAGTGATGCTTCTAGAGTCTCGCCATATCGTGAGAAAAGAGGACGCATTTTCAGTGATGAACCAACGGATATAACAGTCCCATTGCCGAGTGTTGTGCAGACATCTTGCCAAGATGTGAAATCTTGGTGGATGCAGCAGATTCATCCAGACTGCTTATCTACTGTCGGTGATAGGCTAGATAAACCACCGAGTGAAGGTTGGGAAGGAAGTAAGGAGTCCTTTGTACCATCAGTTGCAGTTGCAAATCGCCAGACTGAAAGACTTCGACGAAATAGGAGAGGAGAGGGAGCAGATAAAGACTCAGAATCCATGTCTTTTAGCAATGGAAAGCGACGCTATGTCAACGAGTCTATAGCGTAGATCTCAATTTGCCTGGCTTCCTTCCTAGTTTCATTCTATTTACTACCATTTCTGATCCCAAATATTACAAAACATTGCATTTCTTTGCTGACCTTATTTGTACTGTAACTTTGGAAGGTAGATTATTGTGTAATTAATTTTAATGTGTATAACATGTAGCCTAGTATATACAACTGGTGTGAACAAAACAGCTTTGTAAATTTGGGAAAACATCTGAAAGGGGGGTCACGAAATAGCTCGGTCCATCTTTTAGAAGGGCGGAAGGAGAGGAGAAGCTATGTTGGACGATGATTTTAGCCTTAACTGAATTTTTCGAATAAAGTAGTGGCTTTCATTAAAAATGAACGTTGATGATCTCTGAAGTCGAGTAGAAAATGACGGCTGGTTATTGATGTTTAAGAAAAAATGGAAAAGTTGGAATAGGCAATCAACTGTTTTCTTCTCTCCTTGTATTTTATTCTAAAATCTTTCATATTAGGGCAGAAAATGAGATGGAATAGAGACAAATTAGAATATCAACGATCTGCGGTAAAAATTTGTAACTATTGACAAAATGAAAATTAACTTTTGTACAAAGTATATTCTAAAATGTACAGCGTGAGCTTTATCATTTAATAACAGTGATTAACGCATCCAATTTGATTCCATCTGAAAATCTGTAGATCTGTAGCTTAACTAAATACCATCTCTGTTCTATAAGAGGTTTATCTCTATTCATTTTCGTTTAATGTCAATAAGAGTTGTCAAAGCAACTCACACAAGGATCACTTAATCTTTCTTACAAAGACCTGTTTGATATTTTCAAATATAAGATTTGGTATAATGGTTATTTACAAAAGCAATAAATATATTTCATTATGTAATTTATCCGTCCATGGCATGACATAGAGAAGTCATTATCGCAAGAATTTGAGTTGCTCGTGATTAAATGAAAACAAATTATTTCAAAAGATCATTAAGAGATAAACTCTAGATCACATGCAATTAGACTCTATTTTATCGGTATTGGAAGTTTCAGGTTCATTTAATTTTTGAGCTTGTTTTATCAATTATAATTCAAGGTGTCTGATTGCTATTGATTCCTTCTGGAAGCGGCTTTTCGAACCCTGTATTTGCTCGGAAATATTGAAAGATTTTTGTTATAGTAATTAAAACACTCAAACATCTGATTTCGCTACTTTATTGTTAATTACTTTTATCTTAGCCTTCTTTTGTTTGTTATTTTTAAGTTCTATATCTCTCACACTTGCGTACCCTGTTGTACTTTTTTAAGCTAAACATTAAAAAATTATTTATCTCTGTGTATTTCGCCTATAAATAGGCTATTTTGTCAAACACCCTATTTATGCGAATGAATTAGGATATCATTTACTGTCCCATTTATTTTTCTTAACTGAATTTAGGTAAATATAATTTCCAATGTTGCCTTCATCTTTTATAACTCTCCTCCTCCTATTAAGTGCACATTTGCACCCAACTTCATCCGTAGACTCCTCTCAAATGCTCCGTACAATTCGAGAAATGTTTGCTTTTGGTTATCACAACTACATTAAACACGCTTATCCGGAAGATGAGTTAGATCCAATTCACTGTCGTGGTAGAGGTCATGATCATACCGATCCCAATAACTTAAATGTCAATGACGTCCTTGGGGATTATCAGCTTACATTAGTGGATTCTCTCGATTCATTGGTGGTATGTTCTATTCAAATTAATTTATCTTTACTTAGATATTTGGAAACACCTCAGAATTCAAAAGAGCTGTGAAATTAGTTACTGAGAGTTTGTCTTTCAATACACCGGTTGTGGTTCAAATCTTTGAGGCCAATATCAGGTATATTCCCAATCTCATTAAATCTCTGAAGGATTTTAGGAGGTCTCCTCTCTGCTCATCTTCTCATCACTGACCCTCTTATGAGACTTGGTGATATACGACCCGAGAACTACAACGACGAGCTTCTCATACTTGCTCGCAATCTCTGTGATAGGCTTCTTATTGCCTTCAAAGTGCGTTATATGACTTGCTTTTGTCTATGAGATGTGTTTCCATGCATTGTCTTTAATGTATTTCGCATTTTCTCTAAAAAGGGTACACCAAGTGGTATTCCTTTTCCTAGAGTTCATTTAGGCTGGAGATCGGTCGAGACGCTGGGTAGAAAAAATACATGTCTTGCGGGTGCGGGAAGCATGCTCTTGGAAATGGGGACCTTGAGTGTGCTTCTACAGGACCCACGATATGCCACTGCTGCTCGGAATGCTGTAATCACACTTTGGAAGCATCGAGCCAAATCCACTGGGCTTCTTGGTATGTTGAACTTGCTCTCAATCTTATGTTACTGTTGTGATTCTATTAGCCAAAATGTGATCTGGTTCATATTCACACGAAATATCAAATAGCTATCAATGACAATTGGAAGTGAGATCAATATTTGACATAAATATAGGAAAACTATTCCGTAATCTCTTAAGAGAAACACCCTACCAGGCCTTATGCCTACCCGAACTAGCTAGTGTAGTTGACCTCTATCATCTCCATATATTCGCCTATTGGCATTGAGGTCATTGCCTTTGGTTTTGCCGACATGCACTGGTCACTACTGCCCGTATTGTCCCACAATTTACGTAGTAAATGTCTACTCGGAATTAAAACTTGGGTTTTAATCTTAGCCTTATTGAAGATTTCGCAATAATTTAGTAGTGACTACGGTCATGGACTAATTCGACGGGGCCAGGTTATCTTTTTCGTAAATTTGGACTCTTCTATGCTGGTGTGATTCTATAAAGTCTAGTTCCTGTCGTTATGGCTTGTATATCTGCTAGATATCACTGAGACTAGAGAGAGAAAGGTAATGAAGAATGTATTCAACCCAAAGCATCTAATTAAATCAGTAAAGCCTTTAAATGTGACTTTAAGTTAGTTTTTTTCATAATGATGATGTTTGAAAATGAAAACGCCATTGCGCTAATTTTAGTTCAATACTAAATAATTGTTAAGCTGTAAGTAGCGATATGCGTCCGAGACAACTTGCAGACAAAATGTAAGCATTGCCGCTATTATCTTAGCTATTTCTGCTTCCCGTCAACTTATATCACATTACATTCTCCAAACTTTCTACAGTAAAGGCTTGCAATGAATGACAACGTTCGGAGCCTTTTGGGTTGAGAATAGGGTATTTACTGGAGTATTTTTAATACAGTAAATAAATATGCACTAATGACACTATCAGGCTATAGATAAGCAAGTTACCAATTTGTTGGGTTCCTTCCGTAGTCAGTATTATTACTGGCCTTGCCAATGCAAATAGCGTTTTCAAGTTTTGTCATGACTTAACAACTGAAAATACAAAATAATCCAAAAGGGCATGAGGTGAGTTCAAACTAACCAAAAGATAAGGTCATCATGTCAAAAGCTATGTTCTACTTGATTAATGTAACTACTTAGTTGACCTCATTGTAAAGAATTAATTCATATTATAATATCTCGGTATTTCAAACCTTACTGTTCGTGATTCGATCCGATGTATCCGTTTACACTTACGTTCGCAAAAAGTTTAGTCGAGTAGCTGATGTAATTAAGTACTTAACCATCGCACTTGGATTTATTTCTGCCTTCGTGCAGTTCTAAAAGCGTAATAAAGCTTTATCTTGGCAATTAAATTTACTGTGTCCTTACTACATGCTAAAGAAAACGTGAATCAACAAGGTACTCGTTTTCGAATTTGCCCATGAATACCCCCTCCCCCCCCCNCCCCCCCCCCCCCCCCCCCCCCCCCTCCTTCCTAATTCTCATTGGGCAAACCAATCTTCTCATCAAATTACTTTCTCTTCTCTCTCATATTTACATGACAATTTGTTATCTTAAAGAAAAGATATACGCGAGTGTAAAGTTGTCCTCCTTTAATGTGATTCCTTGGTATTACAAGAAGAATGGCCTTAGATGGAGTTTCATCCTACGCACCATTGGCCATTAGATGACACTTGTGAGGACATTTATACCAAATGACAGGCGTTTTGATTGTTATCATTAGCCCGTCAATTGACTTCAGGATTCACAGAGGAAAAGGAACATCTAAGTGGAAAACAGTCGAAAGGGGGGGGGGACAGAAGAGTGTCTCAAAGATGTAAAAGAGACAGACACAAAGGTGAGGCGAGTACTGCGGAAGTAGTCGAATATGATATACAGTGGGACCATGATAGTTTGAAGTCAGAAGTCAACTACCGGTTAATAGACTTTTTTGCCTTGTGAGTATACATTGCCCAGGTTGCACCATGTGGAGGTGAGTCTATAGCACACCACTACTAGTCAGGACATAATGTATAACAGAGCTCACTCAACTTCAACTCGAAGCTTTTCTATCAATATTATCAGAAAACTTTGTGGATATTTCAATTTTAATGCTTTCCAGTAGTACTATTTTGTATGTGCTCTTTCTGAGGACTTGATTCATGTGAATATGGACTGTAATTTTGCATATGAATTCCATTCTACTTTGCTAAATGCGTTCTACGTTATGTGACTGCTTTTTTAGATCTGATTGCAAATTGTAAATCACACCTCTAATGTTGTAGTTTATGTGTCAGCTAAACAAGATTGCCATCCATCACGTTCTGAAATCGAGAGCTGCATTAAAAGTATTGGATATCTTAGCAATTAAGTACTTTTGCATTTTGAAACGTTTGTCTTTAAGTCTATAGGTCTTTACCATTTTTATTAAATCGCTGATGTTTTATCATTGAATTTCGACGGTTTCAGCGGTTCATCTTTTGCAGTACTTCTTTAATCTATTAGTGCAATTGGTTCGATTTTATACGATTGGGTTTCGTGCTTATTTGTAGGTACGGATATCGATATTTACTCTGGCGAATGGACTAATTTTATGTCCGGTGTTGGCGCTGGCCAGGATTCCTTCTATGAATACCTTCTGAAGGTTCGTTGAATTTAATGCTGTTTTAATTACTAGAGAAAAACATAATAAGTGGATATTGCAAGCTTTTGAAAAAAGTATTGAAGATATGTTGAGTATTTCTGATTTACTTTCCACTCGCTTCCAAAGTTATCGCATATCAATTAACTGCTTTCTAGTTGTCAAGATGGAAGTAATAGCACCATCAGTTTTTGCAAAATCAATTTTGGATTATCCCTCTACTGATGTTGAAGAAATTAAGCCTCGTATTTATTTTTCTGAGTAGAGTAGTAGTATTCAGTGCTATTTTTGTTCAGTCACCTTCTAAGCTTAGTTCCCACTTACCTAACCCCTTTCGAATATTTTTAACTTAAAGAGCTCAGGTTACTGTAGCCCTCTTAATTCTCATTTGATGATTTTTGTCGGTTCCGCATCGACACCCTTATCCGGCTTCCACTTGTTCAGTGCTGACTTCCTATTTCCAAATCCAAAATATTTTAGCTTATTGAAAGTATTTCTCGTGGTTCAACTTATATATCATTACAAATATTAACTGACATTAAAGGATTTTATTTTCGTGTATAAATATCATCACTTACCCAGTTAAATTTTGTAATAGAAAATGACTTCTAAAAATTTTATCCAGTACGTTCTATTTGACATCCTTTTGAATAATCACTCTTGAGGCATCCAATTCTCTAAATTGGCATTTCAAGCACCTATTTGGCTAAACTTTCTTGAGCTATGAATGCATCACCGCCTCAAAATTGTTAGGCTTTTAGAGTCTTCCATGGAATTGGGACCCTCATTTTTGCGCAATCTTTGCTGCTAACAGTGTGTTTCGAAAAAAATTGTCTTTGCTGTTATAAATGAGAGTAGGATATCTACCTCATATTTGTTGGTATTCCTTTAAGTCTGCATTAATAAATAAATAATTTTCTAATATTACGCTAGCTATATATATATATATATATATATATATAATTATCGCATTTTCTTTCAGAGTGGCATTCTGTTCAATGATTCAGAGATGATGCGAATGTTTAATGAATCTCTGGTGAGCATACGACAAAGGCTGTGCAAGGATTTCGATGAGATGAACTGCTCCTGCTACGATGCCAGTCAGCACCGAATCTACTGGAATGTCAACATGTTCACTGGGGACTTACTTAACGCATGGGTTGACTCCCTTCAGTCTGCTTGGCCTGGAATACTGGTGAGTATGATTTGCATAGTTCCCTTTTAACTCCGTAGGCCCATTAAAGCAGCGTTAGCAATATAACTCGAAATATTGTTTCCAGTAGTCAATCCTTTGAGAAATCCACTTTCTAATACTCTGTGCGATTGGTTATCCACATCCCTGAATTTACTTATATGAGCCTTAGTCTTGGAGGATATTAACGCGCCTTAAAATTTTCAAATCCATGAAATCATACCGTATTGGTCGAATAATAAGCAGATCAGTGAAACAAAGATGTTTCAGATAAAAAGAATAAGAAGAAAAGTTGGGTTTGAGATTTTCCTGACTTTTGGATCTTATCGTTGATTAATTCCTTTGCCCCAGAGTGAAAGATGTTTTTTATTGTCATTCGAATTGAATCAGATAGTTTGCTTTTCGAGGAGCCTGTTTCTAAACTTTTCAACACTAAGGTATTCCAAATGGCGGGCTTTATGATGCTACGATTGGTCTTTATTTCAAATGGCAGGCGTTTTGATAAATGTCATTAGCCCTTTAGCTTCGAATGACAGGTTAAACGGCAGGCGTTTTGATAGTTATCATTAGCCCTTTAGCAAATGGCGGGCTTTATGATGCTAATCATTAGCCCTTTAGCTGACTTCAGGCTTCACAGAGGGGAGGAGGAACATCAAAGTGAGAAAAAGTGGGGAGGAGGGATAGAAGTGTGATTCAAAGATGTAAAAGAGACAGTCAGACACAAAGGCATAGAGAAAGGTAGGATAAGTACGGTGGAAGTGATCGAATAAGACAGACAGTGGGGTCATGGTAGTTTGGAGTCAGAAATCAACTGCTGGTTTATAGACTTTTTTTGGCGTATGAGAATACGTTGCCCAGGGTTCACCACGTGGAGGTAAGTCTATCGCACACCCATTTCTACACTAAGGTACTTTTAAGTGTCGGTTTCTTGACCAAATTTATCGAGTTCGATTATATGCGAATATTTTTCAGAGCCTGTTAAGGGAGGACCGAGTATATTCTAATCATTGACTGTATCTAACTTGCCATTAGTGTAGAGGAGACAATGTTGGGTTTGAGCTAGAGTCACTGCGTTTTAGGTCGACGAAACCCTTTTGCCCCAATATAAGTCCTTTTGAAAATTTTGAGCATTTTCAAGATGACTCCAGTAGATGGCCATCTTTTCCAATTCAAACTGCCAAATATTTATTTTACAACAGCAATAGACACCGTGTGAGAGGGGATGAAAATAGTGGAAGAATAAATTCAACGAATAGAGTTTAAGACAAAGAGCTTGTGATGAAGAGCTGAGTTAAAGCTCGATAGTGGTGAGCTCAAAGTGATAATTAATTGGGGGATGAACAATAGACACAAATTAGAATTTCATTACTCGCACTCAATTACTCAATCACTGGAGTATATAGTGATTATTCTTCCGCAAAAAAAGACTAACGTGACAAGACAAAAGTGGCAAGTGTTTCAAGTGCACTTCTGAGACGTCTTGTCGAAAGGTTCTTCAATTAAAGTAATTTAAGGAGCTACTGGTAGGCTCTTACCCTAACTATGTACATTTAGTGAGCAAGTTTTGCTAACTTCGCATTTATGTAGGCAGAATGCCAAAGTTCCTAGTAGGGCCTTCTCGTGCTTTGTTATTTGAAAAAAAGATTGGCATTCTAATGGTTTTGTTTATTGGAGAAGATTGTCATTTGACCAATAACAATCATTTTTGAAAAATATTTACTCTCCATTTTTCAACATGAGTAGCGTACCTTTATGTGTAGACCCTGGCAGGGGAACTCTCTGACGCCAAATGCCAACATAAACTGCACCTGGCAATATGGCAAAAGTTTGGTCTGCCCCCAGAGCGTTTCAATCTCCTCTTAAACACCTCCGAGCTTGCCTTCTATCCTCTTCGACCAGAATTTGCCGAATCAACCTACTACCTCTATCGTGCTACTAAAGATCCCTTCTATCATCGAATTGGCGCAATGATTGTTGACAATCTCAATCGATATACCCGAGCTAGGTGAGGTTCCGTGTCAATACTTATTGCGCATGCGTTAGTTTAATGTGATTTTCTAAGTCATACCTTGGACCGGGGAGGGGAAAGCTATCTTCATATATCCAATTGAAATTTGACACTGCTGATTGTCGGCAATCTTGAACTGAGCAAAGCCTAAAGTAGGTTAACTCTCCATCTCATAGCAACAGACAAGGGTAACAATGAGACTGTTACCAGTCGATTTTAGACATTGGAATGTTCCTTCTGACTTTCAGAAGGCTGAAAGGTAGGAACAAGAATAGCTTTTCTGACTGAATATGGGTTTAGGAAAATTTTAATATCATACGTATCAGTTCTAATAAGTTTCTTTTAATAAATCTTTTTCGATACTGCTACAATGCCTGTAGACCTAATTTTATTAACTTGATCTAGCGTCCTCTAGATAGTATTAGGCTACAGTTTGTTCCACTCCGGAGAAAAGGCAAATGTGTAGTCACTCCAAATTCCTCTTATTTTTAATAGGACTATTTATAGGAATGGGATTATTAACATTTGAAGGTCAGTGCATTCCCCAAACCGGGGGTGAATTCATATGGACTTCTGACGAGGTATTCGGAGCATCTTGATTAGGCCCCTTCAGGATCTACTGGAAAGTGAATCACTCATTCCATCTTAGTGCATAGATTCCGTGGCTTTAAGTTCTACACTTCGACGTTCTCTCATTTGATAAATATAGTATTATTCTGAATGCGTCAGTAGTGTGGTTGCCCACCACAGAAAACGGCTGACCGGGCTTGAAATGATTAATGGAGAGGTAATGTGTGCTTCTCCATCGGAGGTTCAAAATAAGTAATTGACTAGTAAAGTAATAACTTTATAACAATAAACCGATAACTTTCCCTGTAATTTTGAGTACTAAGAGCCAATGAGCGCTCAGTAACATGCTAAAGCGATATAATAGGCCGCGGTTGTTTGTATGCACGCCTGAAAGTTGCCTTTTTAATGATACCCCATCTAAAATAAGCTCGAAAAGTAGCTAACAGTTGTTGGCTGCTTATTCTTTAATGTTGTATTGTTTCTGAATAGCATACACACGCAAGGAAGTAAATCTGAGATTTACCTCCTAAAGTAATTTCGAGTTTAATATATAGCAAGGAGAACACAGTTCCTTGTGCTAATTGGAAGTATTATATAATATTTACGTGTGGGTGTAAAGATATAGTTCGTGTTAGTCCAGTGGTGAAAAATTCACAATGTAAGTACGGTCTTGAGGAGTATGTGGACCTGTTGTGCTCCTTTCAACCTCGATGAACCAGATACCGGTCTCTTACTCCATGTAGAAAGTTGAGCAATCCATCCTCTCCCCTAATTTATTGGCTGAAACCTACAGATATTTTAAAACTTTCCAATAACGCTAATTCCGATGGTAAAGCTGGTCGAGTTGGGCTTAAATCTAGTCCAACGCAAACCTGAAGATCGTCTCTAAAACTAACAAGGTCAAACAACCAAGAGGTGTGACTGGTCCACAGGTGTATTGGAATTGAGGTTATAGGCAAGTGGTGGCGTGGAGGAAGTGTGTCTCGGGTTGTAATAAAGCGTATGCTTTGAGGTATAATGTAATTATAACAGCACAGAGTTGTTTCATCAGGCCTATGGAGTCTAATCTAGATGCAATATCTCCACATTAAGAACTCTTTTTGAAGGGTACTTCCTTGATTTCATCACTTAAAGTACAAGGCACAGTATAATTATAAGGTGTATTGATGCTTGTTCACATCTGTTTACGTCAATCCGGAAGTTAGCTCTATAGAAGGTGTGGTGTATCTTTAGATAAGCGGCTTACTATAAACGACCATAAGGATCTGCAGGAGTATGAGAGATAGACCAAGAAGCGTTAAAGAGGCAACAATCCTGTTGACTTACAGCTTATGCTTCCTTGATTTGACCGTAGCACACCTTATTGATGGTCAGGGCCTGATATATCTCTTATATCCTCAGGGTTTGCTCAAATAGCCATTGTTAGCTTTTATTACATTGTTCAGTAAGGCCACCGTCATACTGGGACACTATCGAAATAGACGTGTTTCACGCATCTTCTGCTATGCAATTAGGGTATTTGAGAATAATAGCAAACTAGTGCTATTCAGTAATATTGACCAATTCTCAAATGCTTGTAGGTCCTGTTTACTTCAAAACATTAATATCAGTCACAACAAGCCCACATGAGGCAAATTTACCCTCCAGCCACTTCTTATTTTTATGCCATTTAGTCCAAATCCATGGCCGATCAATGAAATGTAGAGAAAATGTACTAATATAACTTAGAACGAAATCGAGGCCGGGAAACAATGTTAATGAACAGAAAAGGTAACTATATCGTCCCATATAGCTATCTTCCATACACCAGAACTCGAAAATCATGCATCATTGTTCAATATCGATTTAATGCCCACAAACCGTGAGCCATACAACATCATGAACTCATTTCTTCACCTCGTGCATAATTTAGTCATGTTTGTACCTGATTTTTATTCCATTATTTTCAGGTGTGGCTTTGCCACAATTCATAACATCGAGGACATGTCCCAGGAAGATCGCATGGAAAGCTTTTTCTTGAGTGAAACCCTAAAATATCTCTATTTAGTAAGTGTATTTTTATTCATTTATCACCCCTTAACTTTATCATGAGCAAAAGTAAAGAGTAAGGCTAAGGGATTAATCGCTGCCTCGCAGAAATGTCTGCTACACTGTAATCATTTTTTTTTGCTGAACCATTTATGGAAAATACTAACAACACAATTTGAAATGAGTGACGTTATGCGAAGAAATTCACTTTCTCCCATCTATCCCGTTAACCGAAATTTACTTATTTATTTCAAATGGCAGGCGTTTTGATAGCT